TCTAACTGGGTGTAGAGAAGTTTTCCTTACCCCTGCAGATTTGCAACAGGGTGGCGGGGCAATCGGGCCTCTGTGCCCTGCTGTCCCTGGGCTGAGCCTGTCCCTTCTGTCCCCCCCACCCTCTTTCAGCTGATGGCGTTTGTAGCAGAAGAGAGGAAACGCTACACGGTCTACCCGCCCCCCGAGCAAGTCTTCACCTGGACACAGATGTGCGACATCAGGGATGTGAGTGCAGCTGGGGGGGGAGGCCTCTGCGGCCGCTGGAAGCGATGAGTAGAGTCATTAGGTTGGAAAGACCTCTAAGATCAAGTCCAACCATCAGCCCAACCGCACCATGCCCACTAAACCATGCCCCTCAGCACCACGTCAGCACATCTTTTGAACACCTTCAGGGATGGTGACTCCACCACCTCCCTGGGCAGCCTGTTCCAATGTTTGACTGCTCTTTCAGTAAAGAAATTATTCCTCATGTCCCATCTAAGCCTCCCCTGGCACAACTTGAGGCCATTTCCTCTCATCCTATTGCTTCTTACGTGGGAGGAGAGACTGACCCCCACCTCACCACAGCCTCCTTTCAGGCAGTTGCAGAGAGTGATGAGGTCTCCCCTCAGCCTTCTCCTCTCCAGACTGAACACCCCCAGTTCCCTCATCTGCTCCTCACAAGGCTCGTGAGCGCGGGGCTGAGTGCACCAGTGTGGTCAGTCTGTTAGTCCCATGCAGTGTGGATGCTGTTTCTCTTGTGTCACTTGTAAATCCAGGCTTCTCTTTCATCTCTGAGACTGAAATATGGATTTATGACTTTATTACCCTCACAGAATTTCCTTTAAAGCTTCAGTTGGACTTTCAACCTTATTTCCAGTGTTACCAACTTGATTTTTGGATCTTGTTCATTTCCTTTTTTTTTTTTTTTTTTTTACATTGATCTATAATGAACTAAAAAAAAGACAGCCTTTAAGGTAACCCCATTGCCAATAAGCTGTGTCAAAAATACCACAGTGAGGGTGGCATAAAACTAAAATTTGAGGAAATTTGCTTGGGAAATACCTTAACAAGGTTTCTGGTGTGTCCATTGGAAATCGTCTGTCTTCTGCCCTCAAAATACCTTCGTAATCTTAGCAGCAAAGCTGTGGTGATGTTAATCCTTAGTGTCAGGTGGGGACTGTGTTCGTTGACTTCCTTATAATGTGATGTTGGCGATTTAACTTCACTTTCTGGGTTTTTGTGTGTGTTTTTTTTTGTCTGTGTGTTTGCTTTAGGATAAAGCTCATTTATAAGCTTTTTTCTTGCCTCTTTTGGAAATGCTGGTGGTTATAATTCAGTGCTAACAAAGGTCTGCTTTCAGGTAAAGGTTGTCATTTTGGGACAAGATCCATATCATGGACCTAAGCAAGCTCACGGGCTCTGTTTCAGTGTCCAGAAGCCTGTTCCACCTCCCCCCAGGTATGACAGCACTCAATTTGCAAAATCCCTTTTGTTTACAAATCATTTTCAGCTCTGAGTTACTTCATGAGCCACATAATTGATACGAGGTGTGTTGGCAACTGCTGCAGTTGGCGTTGTGCCTTACTTGGGGAGAAAAACATCACCACAAAATTATGGGTAATTCCGTGTAGTTTGATATTCTGAGGAGCATGCTGGATGTAAATTTGCGTTTCCAGTTGTGCTGAGAGCTCCTCATTGAGCTCCTATCCAGGCACACAAAGGGGGCTCCTGGTTACTCTGCTTCTACAGGTGGCTTTCTTCTCTTAAATGACAAGATTACCCCAGGCAAGAAGGGCATGGATCTTAATGAAGAGCAGCAAGTGGTGCAGTTTGCTCTTATCTCTAAACGTGCGCATTAAAAGACTTCTGATTGTTCTTGTTTGCAGTTTAGAAAACATTTACAAAGAGCTGTCTACGGACATTGAGGACTTCACTCATCCTGGTCACGGTGATCTGACCGGCTGGGCCAAGCAAGGTGAGTTAACAGACACCCTCTAGTACCGTGCCCACTACAGGTGGTGGTGAGCCCTAGCTAGAAAAGGTCCCTGGTTGGAAACAGTCCGTCTGTAAAAGAGAAAATCCATTCTGAGAGCCTGTCGCTGAGCAGGCGCTGCTTAAAATGGCAATTTCTCGTTCCTCGGGGGAGGCAGGAACAAGCAGTCGACGCCTGATTCCTGTTTCACCCTCTGCGTATCCGCTTTGCTCGCCAGGGGTGCTCCTGCTCAACGCCGTCCTCACGGTGCGAGCTCACCAGGCCACCTCCCACAAGGAGAGAGGCTGGGAGCAGTTCACGGACGTGGTGGTGTCCTGGCTCAACAAGAACCTGCACGGGGTTGTCTTCATGCTGTGGGGAGCCTACGCCCAGAAGAAAGGCAGCTCCATCGACAGGGTACGGGTTGTTCCTCCTCTTCCCTCTCGCTGATTCTTTTTTTTTTTCAGTTGGGTGGACACTAGAGGGCACTTCCCGCACAGAACTGGGGTTTTCTTCCTGCTTGAACTCTGCTGTCAAATTTAGTCAGCCTTCTGTTCCAGCTTAGCCTTTGCTGGAATTAAGCAACAAAAGTGGAGCAAGTGTAACCTCCTGTTGTCAGAGAAGCGCCCAGTTGAGGACAGAACGTTTTTTTCTAGGAAAAGGCTCATGGATCAGCATAAACTTTGCCGTTAGGATTACAGCAATTGGAAAATGGCCAGGGTATTACTGCTGCTTCACGTTGTCTGTCCCCCTCTGCTGAGTGGGACAAGAGTCTCTGTCCCC